GTGCAGGAGGCAGTCAATCAATGATTCTCATCATTGATGTTTCTATCTCTTTCTCCCTCCCCCTTCCTCTCTGAAATCAATAAAAACATAAATAAATAAATAAGAAGAAACCCCGTGAGGTGAGACTATCACACTCATTTGACAAAAGGGGAGACTGAGGCACGGCAAGGTGACTTAACTTGCTCATAGGGGAGCCAGCACTGAAATACTAATGAAGAAATCAAACAACAAAAAGAGGGCTGTCGCATTTGCTGTGGTTCAGCGCCAGCCCTACTATGTACCTCACTTGGGCAAGTTACTTAATCTCCCTTCCCTGGGTTTCCTCACCTGTAACATGAAGATGAGCACAGTGCTGACCTCACGGGATTATTGGGAACTGAATGAATTAATGCCCATGAAGCCCTTAGAACTGGCCCTGGCACAAGGTAGATGCGAGGTAATTTTGTCCATTGATTATTTACAAAGTGCGCCCGTGTTTGTCAAGTCCTCATCCTCTCAGCGATCTTATGCCATTGCCATGACTATCGGCTCAGTTTTCTGACGAGGACACTGGGGCTCAGAGAGGCCCAGCTGTGAGCAGCTGTGACCGGTCTCCTGTGTTCACCCGCAGGAACCAGTGACGACCCGCTCCAGGACTCGGAAGGGCGAGAGGGCTCGGAGGCTGTGGCGGAGCACCAGTTTTCAGACCTGGAGGACTCAGACTCAGACTCAGACCTGGATGAAGACGAGGATGAGGATGAGGACGAGAGCCAGGATGAGCCGTCGGGACCATCCCCGGAGGCACCCCTGCCCTGCCCGCCGGCCACGCTGCCAGCAGACTCCTCACCCATTCGGGGCCCGCAGCCCCCAGATGCCACCTCTGGCAACCAGACCACGTGGGGCAGCTCAGTCTCGGAAGCAGGCAGTTGCTCCAGGTCCAGCCAAAGCATCCTGTGCCTCCCTCGGCTGGGGCCAGCCCTTCCGGGCCCCGTGGAGAAGGACACCAGCTCAGCCCTGAGCTCCAAGGCCTCGTCCCCGAGCAGGCCATGGTCCCCCAGCAAGGAAGCAGGCAGCCGCTCACCACTTGCCCACAAACACCCACTAACCAAAAGCGACTCTCCCCAGCGACATTCACCGGCCGGAGAGCCACAGGCCTCGGCCCTGTGCCTGCCCGGCTCCCAGATCGGCCCTCTCCCTTGTGGGTCTCCAAGACTGGAGCTGTCTCCTCTCACCCTCCGCCCCCTGGGAAGGGAACTGCCCCCTCGAGTGCATCTGCCCCCCGGACAAGAGGGTGCCAAAGACCCAGGCCCCCCCAGAGACTCGCCCACCAGGAGCCGGTCACCAGGCCAGGCCGAGTCACCACCACGGTCAGTGCTGCCAGGGAAGTGGGCCTTGGCTGGGCCGGACAGCCCCTCAGCGGCTGAGTGCGGCCCAAGCTCGGGGCTGGCCCCGTGGGCTCTCTACAGGCCCACGCCTCTACCTCACAAGCTTCTCGGCAGAAGCCCCGCGCCCTGCGCCTCCACATGGGTGAGTTCCTGCCCCGAGTGGCTGGGCCGCTCCTCCTTGATGGGTGGGGGCTGCAAGTTCGCGCCTCCCCGAGGCACCAGGCCTGGAGCCAAATAGCTCTGCCAGCTCCATGGTCACCGATAACTTAGCAAACGCTTATGGGGCACCTTCTGTGCCAGGCAGCGTGCGGTGCCTGAAACCAGTGAAGGAAGCCTCAGAAGCAGCAGAGCACGGGCTTCGGAACTGGCCTTGTGCCATTCTCCTCCCGCCCTCCCCATCCCCATCGCCGTGTTCTTTGAGCAGATGGCAGAGCTTAACCAAAGTCATCACATCTCCAGCATCACTGTCACCAGCACCTCAGAGATATCACAGCCAGCACCAGCCCTGTCTCACCCTCAGCACCGTCACTGACACCATCGCCCACCGTCTCAGCATCATTACACTGCAGCACACGATCACCACCACCTCGTCAGCCTGGTCAGTGTTGTCACATCACCGTCAGCACAGTCACCACTGTTGTCACCACCATCACCATCCTACACCGTCACTGTTACCACCATCACCATCCTACCCCACCATCACCAACCTAC